GTGTGACATAGAGAATAGTTCTTCACTTTTTCTTCCTTTTTCCTTGCCCAAGTGGCTCGCCATTGATCCAGACCCACTTTTAGGGCTGAAATCACATTTATTATGCCAAGTTAAGCCCCTCTGGCTACACATCTCATTAACTTACTAATTATCCTCATTAGGTTAATGAATTAGGGTTAAAATTTTCTGTATGTTACAATGGGCCTTTGGAACCTATATTAATATATGCAAATTTGATCCTCATACTTGTGAAATTTTATTGATTTTCATGGTATGAGATCATTTTAAATTTAAATGCTTGTGGAGACTTTGAAATCTCACACCACAAATAAACCATAAATATATCGCTCTTTTTTTATATATACTTTAGCCTCTTATAAGGAAATCATGACAACCTATGAAAATAGAAAGCACCATGAGGTATATATATGTTTTTAGCCATGATTATCGGTATGCATAAATAAACTACCATAAATGAACAAAGATTGATATAAGGATCAAACCATGCCACCACATGTTGCATTTTTCTAGAGTATAGTAATTAAAAAGATTGAAAGGCAATTTGAGAATTAATTATACACAACTAAATGTACCTAGATTAAACACATTGAATATATTATAGTACAAACCATGACAAGCCTACTTTGCGAATTTTTTTATAAATAAATATTTAAAAGATATAGCATAAGGTGTAGAGTTTAGCAAATCTTCACAGCTATTAAGCAAGCTTCATGATTAATGGAAGATTGTACAAGCCATAAGATCTCAAAAAACAAAAAAAGAAAGAAAGAAAAACAATGATTCAAACTACAGCCTTTACCTACAACATTCAAACTAAAGATCATACTCTTATATTTACTAATATATCATTAAACACCTAAATTTAGATAGCTCTCGTAATGCAAGCCATAAGATCATGAAATTAGATTTTAATAAAAAGGCATCATAAATTGCTAATCCACCTGCAAGCCTTTAAATGGCTTTAAACATGAACAAAATATCTAGCCAAAACAAGTACTCATTCAGCACGTGCATATATAAAACTAAACCAGATTTCTTTGCAAAATGGACAAGAAAACACGAGGCAAAATTCTAATACCAACCCTAGATTTACTAAACCACTACTGAGTCATAATAAGAAAACATAAGTAAGATAATCAACCATATAACATAAGACAAAAGAAGCAAAATTTGTTATCTACTAATTGAAGGCCAACGATTAGAATTAGATGAATTTAGAATCATGACATAAATTTTGAACCTATTGTAGCGGCTAGAAATTTCCCAAATCTCTCTCGCCTTTCAAGCTTTAGACTACTTCTAAAATCAGCTCTGAATCCCACTAATTCTCTTAGTTCCCTTTTCCAAAAAATGAATCACTTACAAAATTTCTAGAAATCTCTTCCTCGAAATCCCTCTCCCAGTCTACTTTTTAGAAATCACTCAAATACTTCAGTCTCCCTCTAAAAATACTCAGAGATCCTTTGGTCTCCCTCCAGAAATCCTCTCCTAAGGTCTAAGCTCTCGGTCTGCTCCTTTTTTTTCTCAGATCATCATCATCCCTTTATATAGAAAACGAATACCTGGGCAGCGTGAATCTACAGGCTCTGACTTGATTTGACTTCTCCTTCCTCACACAGAGTTAGATTTCCTCTTCCGAGCCACCCTTCTTCCTTTTCGTACACCTCTGCTCTTCCTTCCTTTGTGTGCGTGACTATCGTATGTGTACGTCTTTGCCGTATGTTGCTTGCTTTGCATTTGCTCTTCTCACTTTCTACCTTTTGCTTTCTCTATTTTTTGTCCAGCATCTTTTCTCTGCATGTGTGACTGAGTCTGCTCTGGCCTGTGTTTTCTATAATGATGAAGAGCCTCTTAGGGCTGTAATAAAATGCTAAATCATCAATGTTTCATTCAACCCATTACATATTTTGTTTTTGCTTTTAATGCTTTTTTTGTTGTTAATTAACTTTAGAAATTAGATTAAGATATTTAAACAAATCTAATTTTGACTTAAACAAATATATATTATTTTATTTTTTTTAAAATGGAAAACAATAAAATTTAAGAAGAGAAATTTATAAAAAATTAACTCTTAAAAGTTGACTCTCAATATTTTTGAATGGTTAAGATAATTTAGGAGAGAGTTTTCAAGATTTAAGCAAGGTTTTTTTTTAATTTTGTTAGATTATTATTTTTTTAAAATATAATCCTAAAAAGAATTAAATGTATTTTTATATTTTTTTTGGTTATTTTAATGAATTAAAATAAATAAAATCATAATAAAAAATTATAAGATTAAACCCTATTAATTAAAGTTTTTTATTTTATCTATATTATTAAAATTTTATTTTTTTGGTTGATTTTATTATTATTTTTATTAAAAAATGTCCAGACAAAATACAGTATTTACACTTATCTTTTGTGTCTATGAGCTTTAAAACACTCCCAATGGTTGATTTCTTCAAGCCCTAACACTACTCTTCAGTTGCTCTTGTGAACCTCTTCCTTTCCTCTCATTTTTGCGAGCTGTAGAATAGACATATTTCTGCAGAAAAATGTTCATGGCCATGGCACATGGCCTAAAGAGCATCTCCCTAAGCATGTCAGCATGCATGTGTCGCAACGGCCTGATCCACAAGCTATAGTATGTGGAATATAGCCTTTTCTTTAGATTTTCTTCCTCTTTTCAGTCCGAGGTGACCCGACTTCCTTTGGATCCATGTTTAGGATTGGAATTAAAACCAAACATGCCTGTTAGACCTCTCTAGTCACACACTTCACTAATAAACTCAATTTAATCAATTTTTTAGCTTAATTAATTTGGTTTAAAATTTAAGGATGTTACATTCAGGATATCAAAAAATACCTCACATCTTTTAAGGAAAGGACTAAGTATGATCTTTGATAAAAAAAAAGGGGTGTTACGGTCTATAATATTAATGACTTCCCATATATATATATATATATATATAATTAAATGAGAACAAATTAACTCTCAAATTAGTTTTATTTTTATCAATATAACCTCTTATATGTTCTCTACCGTTTTAAAATTTTAGAGTGTTTTTTTTCTAACTAAATAGTTAGACTTTTTTAATCAACCTGCATGGGTGTCATTAATATTCTTATCTCACATCAGCAAATTTTAACAATTTTATCTCCTTTTTAAAACAACAAAGATCAAATCAATAATATGTTAACACTAGTATCTCAATTCATACAATCAAAATAAGATTAAGTTAATTCATGTGCATACTTGAAAAATCCATGGCTACAAGTTATGACTACTTGATTATCTTAAGTGTAGGTAGACTCACAACCCATTAGACTCTCATAGTTTTCCAATGACTATACAAATGGTGGAGAGAATGAAAAGAGAGTCATATGTATTGGTTATCAAATGATCGTATTATATGGATTACATCAATAACTACCTTAATAATTAATTAATCAATCTCTCATTATATTTGACTTGGTTAGTTAAAAGATAGGGAATAACCGACTGCTACAGAGTCGTAGGTTAGGCCTTTGCTCATTGGGCTCACTTACGTGATCCACCTATCATGGTCCATATATGATTATAAAGACTAATATATTCTAATGTTATTAATAAATACAAATCCATAAATATATATAAATATTCCAACTTAACCAAGATAAACTTAGGTAGTAATTCAAACTTCCATTACCATGCATGATAGACACTTTTTTATCATGCTAAGTATTTACAAATTGAGTTTTGACAAATTACATGTTTATTTAAGAAAAATTGTTTAAAAAGATAGAATGTGACAAGGGTCATTTGGGACTTGTAAGGATCTTGAAAAAAGATATTCGCAAAATTTCTAGGGTATCATCCTAATACTGTTGCATAGCTTTAGGCAATCTTGAAAGGGCTCGAACTCTGTTTGGAAGAAAATTACTCTCATATTAATATTCAACGTGATTATTTGGAAGCTATTCATCTTATACAAAATGAATATGTGCATAATCATCATTTTATAAATCTTGTGAGAAGCATTAGGAACCTTTGTATGTGTGATTGACAAGTCTCCATTGATCATGTTTTTGGAGAAGTAAATTGATGTGCTAATTGGTTGGCTCATCAAGCTGATAGGGATAGTTCTAATATTTGAATTTTTAATAATCCAGTGCTAGAGTGTAAGAACTTTTTACATTCAGGTGTCTCCTAATTTTGTTTAATTGCATAGTTTTAATTGTGGTCTTGTTAACTGAAAAAAAAATTAAAAGGCCATTTTACTCGATTTTGATTGAAACATGATAAAAACTTTCAACCTTACTTTTGATCGCCTAATTAAAACCTTAGTTTGGGCCTTTTTTTTGGTGTTTTGGGTCCTTATATTTTTATTTTTTAGTGTTTTACATTCATTCAAGGTCTCTATACTTTATTCATTTTGTTTATTTAGGGACCTAGAATATCAAAAAATAAAAGTGTAGAGACCTAAAATATAAAAAAAAAGTGCAGAAATCTATAGCAAAATACGGACAAATTGCAGGTACTAAAAGGTATGTTTTCCCTTTATTTATTATAGAGTCAATTTTAAAATTTATCTAGATAGGAGGGAAAAAATATTCTTTGGCTTTTGTAACAATATTGTCATCTCAAAGATCCTTGAGCTATAGTTAATATGGTTTATCAATTTTGTAAGACATTTTTTGAGAGATTTGACGTTCTAAAATATAAAACACTTTAACAAAAATAAAATCTTATTAACGATTTTTATTAATATTACCCTTCCATATATTATCTCCTCTTTAATTTTTTTACAAATGAAGTATTAAATGAAAGATATTTTTAAAAATTTATATTTATGTTTTGAAAATATAAAATTATAAAGTATATTTAATCAACTTTATTAATTATTTTTATTTTATAAGAGTGTATTATAATTCGAAAAGGAAGGACTACAATGCGTCTACATATATTATATGCATGCATCTAATAATGCTCGACTTTATCACACCCACACCCACACATCTAATTCAAGAGGAGGCCAGAAGCAATCCTTCATTTATTTCTTCCAGTAAAAAATAAAAATAAAAATAAAAAATTACACAGCCACTCTCTCGATCTTGCTAAACCTTAGTGCATTCATTTATTCATGCAGACTACATATAATCAACCCACAATCCCTCGCAGGAATCAATAAGGAATAGTATGCATAAATCAATATGACAGGCTTTATATATATATATATATATATAGCTGAATATTGATACTCTCATCGGCACAAATTAAACCAGCTGCAAGTACTCCCAGAAATCTTGAATCGCGAGCAAATTTAAGTGGCTGGCTTCAATGTGTTGCCAATATCAATCACAAAACGATATTTGACATCAGCTTTAAGGAGACGCTCCATAGCAGTGTTCACATAATCCATTGGAATCACTTCTATGTCAGGTCTTATGTTATGCTTTGCAGCAAAGTCTACCATCTCTTGCGTCTCCTTCATCCCTCCAATGCCACTTCCAGCAACTGTCTTTCTCCCTGCCAATGTAATATATATGTTGTTAGAGCCACTTGTAATAGTAGAGCTTCAGATTTCCATATATTTCAAATTTAAATCCACAATATTCTTCAGTTTATGTAATCATTTTTCCTATATACTCACCCCTGAGCAACGGAAATACTGGCAGTTCCAGAGGCTTCTCAGGCGCACCAACCAACACAAGCTTTCCATTGGGCTTCAATAGACCAATCAAAGGCAAGAGAGGATGCATTGCAGAAACTGTGTCAATTATACCATCAAAGGTGCCCATCACAGCCTACACAGATATACAAAAGAACATGAAATTTTTATTATTACTAGAAGATATGTATGAATTAACAAATATATATGAGGGCAATGCACCGGTGATGAAGATAATCACCTGCATCTGATCTTGATCGTGGCTGACAACAAAGTAATCAGCTCCTAGATGTTCAACGGCTTCCTTCTTCTTGTTAGGAGAAGTACTGATGACACTGACCTTTGCTCCAAAAGCTTTGGCGAACTTGACTGCCATGTGGCCGAGGCCACCGAGACCGACCACACCCACATGAAGGTCTGGCTTGTCGAGACCAAAATATCTGAGAGGGCTGTACACAGTGATCCCAGCACAAAGCAGAGGAGCCGCAGCATCAAGAGGTAACGCTTCTGGAATACCAACCACAAAGTGCTCGTCGGTGACCATGAAGTCGGAGTAGCCTCCATATGTGATAGTTCCATCATCGTACTTGGCACCGTAAGTGAGGATGCGTTTTGAGCAATGGTTCTCAAGGTCGTCGGAACAACTCTGACAGGATCGGCAAGACCCCACCATGCATCCCACACCAACCTTGTCTCCCACTTTGAATTTTCGTACCTTGCTTCCCACTTCTGTCACCACCCCAACAATCTCGTGCCTATTATACACACGCACACACACAAACTTGTTAAAATGATAGCTAATGAGTTTCATCATGTTCACACGGCTTGTAGAGTGTACATATGAATGTATACGCACCCAGGTACGAGTGGATAGATGGAGAAGCCCCATTCGTTCTTGAGCATATGGAGGTCGGAGTGGCATATTCCACAGTAGAGCACCTTGAACGCCACATCGTTTATTCCGGTTTCCCTGAACAAATGAAAAATACATATGGCTCATGTTGATAACGAAAACGAAGACAGAATGGACCAAAAGCGAACGTTATGAAAATAAGAACGCATAGATTCTATGAAGAAATCGATGGTATATCAGTACTGTGTCTGTGTGTGTATCTGCATACCTTCGGGAGAAGTTGAAAGGGGAGAGAAGCCCGGAAGAATCCCTAGCAGCCCATCCGAAGGCCTTCATCGGATGCTCAAACTCGGGTTGTATGGCCATTGGAACACTCACACTTACACAGCAAAGAAGAAATGGAGAGATCGAAGAGTACAGCGGAGAAAGTCGAGAGAGTGCGTGCAAGGACTGAAGGTGGTGGTGGTATTTATAGGTGATAGTGGGAGGGCTGTCTTGACGCACTCGATGACGTACACTACCCAATTGGTGACGTCAGTGCCTCCGATCGAGGTTCATTGTCTTTGGACTTTTCTGCGAAAACGACACGTGTAGAAAAGGAAAGAACATCGTTTCTTCGTCTTGGCAAGCACGCAAGTGTTTGGGATTCAAAAATAAAATTCTACACACTTCTTCTGGGATTGAGTTTCCTGCTCATGCTGCTCATTTTTAGAATGAAATTTAAATTATTTAAATTGAAATAAAAAATTTAAATTATTTAAATTTAAAGTATTATTATATTATTATATATTATTTTATTAAAATAAAAATTTATAAAACTATAAATAAATTTAATATTTTTTTATTTTTAATTTGATTTAGATTTAATTTAGAGGGTCTAATTTAATATTAAAATTTTTATAATTGATGTATATTGATTATCCAAATTTATTCTGCATAGAGTGCATCTGAATAATTAATATATATCAATTATAAAAATTTTAAGATTAAATTAAACTCTCTAAATTAAATTTATGTCAAACTAAAAATAAAGAACTTATTAAAATTATTTTATAATTTTTGTAAATTTTTATTTTATTAAATATAATATATTATGACACTTTAAATTTGGATCATCTAAATTAAAATCTAAATAATTCAGATCTCACATCAAGGATGAGAATTGAAATTGGTCCCCTTCTTATCGAGGTCACAAAAGCAAGAAGGAAATGACTAATGAGTCACAGATACCAAGTACAAGAGCGGCAAAGGGTGTCTCCACTTCCTTTCGGTGCATTTCTTCTCCACTTCTTCAAAACGACACCGTTTTAATTAGTAGTGAAATCTCCATCATTTATTTCTAGTTGCGATCTTGACCGTCTACATCATTATCAATCCTCACACCCCAACTCAGCCCTCTCCCTCTCGACACTACTCTCCTCCTTCCTCATCAACCCAATGGGGAAGATATCTGAGAGACTGATCTTGGCACTTTGCTCTAAAGTCTGAACCACATCGTCATCTCGTCCCTCTGAGCCCCACTTAGCCACCTTCTAATTAACTCTACTTTCAACAGCGTCGTTGGACCAACATTGGGCTTCAACTCTAGCTTCCTCGCTTCTCTTCACATCATCTTCTCCCTGTTGACCTTTTTGCTCTCGCTGTCGGCTCAATTATCTCCTCATCTAGGTCAGTGTTTTGCTTTGTTTATCTCTTCATCGATCCCTTCAACCTCCTCAATAAGGACGATTCTGAACAGGAGAAGGTTTAATTAATGATCCTTCTATATCAATTACAAAAATTTTATCTTTTGTTTATCCTTTGGGTTTGTTATTGGAGGTGGCTTAATTAATGATCCTCAATTATGATTCCAAGCAGGAGAAAGTTTGTATGAATGTTTGCTCAGATGAAAACATAATTATGACAATTGGTATTATCTGAGTTTTCATATCTTTTCTGTATCCTTCTCATATATGTCTCTTTTTCTCATCAAAGATGAACACATAAAAAAACTAACTTGGCCTCAAATTTAGGAAAGATATTTGAAACAACCCATCATGGAGGTGTTTGCTCTGGAATTTATTTGAATGCTGAGATTGAGATGAGAAGAATATTTGAGAGTAGTAATCAAGCTTAAGGCAATTCTAGGCAGCTCTAATGATTGATTCTTAGACTCTGTATATATGAAGGGCTGAATTTGTCTTGCCAACTGACCATTTTGATGTTTCCTTATATATATGAATGCTTGGAAACATAATAACTTTTAGTTGTTATTATTTTAAAGTTCCAATTCACGAGCTAATTTTAAACTGAATGCTTCTAAGTAAGAAATTGAATATTCTTCTTTTTGGGCATTTCTATTTTTCCTATTTTGTTTTAAAAAAGATACTATACTAGACTCCAATTTTGGCATCACGTGTATGTGTACATTGCTATACTAGACTTCTATTCATCATCTTAATAGACCTACTTTCTTTGATCATATCTAGAACATAACTGAGAAGGTCCATAATGTATTTGGAACTAGTAAATTTAGTTAGCTTGTCAACATGCTTAGTAATGCTCTGCAAAAAGAGCATGTGCTTTATTGTGCGCTCCAGTAGTGAATCAATGTTGCACTATTGAAGTTACCAGAATTTATTCAGCCACATGAAAGGCGTAATATTCTTACTCCATTAAACATAATTAACCAATAAAACTCATGGTAATCAAAGGATTAACCTAAAGAGTGATTACCAAGGCTTAATTTAAAAGTAAGAGATCCTAAGTTTTCTAAATGACAATGAATTTAAAACAATTAAATCCTTTATATCAAAGTAAAAATAAATTATGAAAGCATGGGATGCCTCAAAGGAGTGAAAGAAGTCAAAAACGGTTGAAAAATAAAACATGTGTTGTGATATAGGGCAATGTGTTGCGGCTCGTGCACACTGCGCTACAGCATGTTACTCTCTATGTCACACGCCGTGACTCAGGAGCTATGCACCGTAACGTGTTACACAAAAATTCAACTAATTCTGCTGTCATTTGATAGCAGAATTGAGAAACTTCTGACGCACCTCGATTCTTTGTCTGACATCCAAATGACGTGATCTAGGTGTCTATAGAAAGCTCTTTACATAAACTAGCTAATGGCATAGGTTTTACTTCCAAAACAAGTCACACCAAGAAGTTGGACACCTAAATATATTTTAAATACTTTTCACAACTTTCACATAAAATGGGTATCCAAAACCCTCAACAAGTGTCAAAAGCTTTTCCTAACACCTGGATCATGTTTATTGGACCTAAGACTACCAGTACAACATATCACACACATTGAAACCACAATATAACAGAAATTTACCCTTCAACCCCTTTTTACCGAAAATAAAGGGGAAGGTAAATTGACATTACTTTACACCCAAAACAATTAAAACATGCTCAAATATCTATTTCTACACTTGCACTAGTATTTTAACCTTATAACAAATATGTATCAAGATACATAAAGACTCAAGGCCCAAAATACAAATCTAACATTCTCAACAACAAAATAGTGCAAGTGTGATGGCATGCATCCTGAAATTGGCAAATATAAACTATTACACAAAATAAACTAAGCTAGAGGCATATAGAAAGGAATATGCTAATTTTAACCTCTTTAGCTTTCTCCCTCTTGGCACCAGAGCTAGAGTATAAAAAGTGTTAAATAAAAGGGGTAAATCTAGCCACTTAGTAATCAAAGTTAAACCTACCCTATATAGTTATATATTAATTATCAGCTAAGGACATGCATATGAAGCCAAGCACTTAAAACATGTTCACGCACATATTATAACTCATCCTTTCTCATTAATACCATTTTTGTCTCACATATATTAGGTACATTGTCACCATTTTGTCAGATATGTGACCATGACCCTTTATTCACGTAATTTGCCATAACTCAACACGTGTGACACCTCATATATTTGTATAAGCAATGATCAACTAACCTTATATCCTCTTTATTTTCTTAGACTGAAACTGTCGGCGATAACATTGAATAGGGTTTCCTCCATGTGACTGGATTACCCAAGCTCAACAATCGTAAGGTTTGACCTAACTAAAGATCACAGGACTCACTCTCAAACCATGACTTCCCCCATTCTCAAATCCTTGAGGTGTCTCATATTCTAACCTATTTTCCTCATTGAACCGGTGGAGATAGCTAGGTTCTAGTCCCTTGACAAACTATGAGACAGTCCCTCGACAAACTGTAGGACAAGGCTATATCCCCGTGTGTCGAAAGGCAACCTAATTACCATATGAATTTTTCTCTACTCCTAATTTCTAAGTGAACTCCTACCATTAATTATGGTATAATCAATACTCACTCTTTTTTTTACAATTTCATTTTCATTTATTCATTATCACAACAATCATATTGGGCTCATGACCATACGCTACCTAAGTGTGTATTCTCATCATTTTCTCAACATTATTCTCACTTATCTTAAAATCCATTTCTCATTAACACACATCTATCTCACACAATCATCACATTCATTTTCCAAAGGCATATGCAGGTTCATAGTTTGAAAACCATCTTGATGTCATATTTGTATTTTGAACTAAAAATAGCATTATGCACATTCAAATTTTCATATACATATTGAAGCTAATACATGCTTTTGCATTGAGAATCAATTCATACATGTAACATTCATGATTAGAAATAAATTTACAATCAATTAACATATAACCACCTAAAGGAGGGTTTCTCTGGTTATCTCAAATCTTTTAGAGGCCAAAGGTTTACCCCCTCAATCTACTAGCTTTCAAGCTTGAATTTTCAATCCAAATAGGTGACCAAGAGCCAAACACTACAATCAACCAAGTTAAATTTCATCAACATGATTAACTCAAGCATTTAAATCCTCAATCTCCACTTTTAAATTGCCTAACATTTACTCCACAATAATTTAAGCCTATCTCTTAGGTTTATTAATTACTTTTAGTCTTCAATAATATTAATGAGCCATTAAATTTTCATTAATAGCATCATAATCTTCTAAACACCCATAACAAATGAGATTTTTAGATATTAATAGTGCCCAACAATTCAAGACACCAAAACTCATTATACTTAGGTTTAGATTCTCTAATATACTCTCATTAACTCCATTTGAGTCAAAAAATTTAAACTTATAACCTATATAGACCAAAATTCTACTTTCACTATCAAACCCTAATCATAAACTCATAAATATACTAATTAGAGGTGGAGAGATTAAGGAGTGTGGTACTTACCTTGGGTGTTTATAGCCTTCAAAATACTTCCAATGTCATCTATTAGTAAACCCTAGTAGAGCTTGGCACGCCTCTTCCAGTTTTTGTTTTCTTTCTTTCTATTTTTGTCTTATTTTTGTGACTGATATTTGTAGAAAATGGCCATGCACCGCGACGGAGGCATAATGCGTCACG